ACACAAACACACACACTAACACACACACACACACACACACACACACACAAACACACACACCACACAACATACACACACAAACACACACATTATTATAGATATACCTTCATAATTATGGTTAAATAATGTGATTACTATCATGTATGACAAATATCTTCATGTTTTTTCATTTTGAAAATGAATGTCATTTATTTGAATGTATTGTCATGATGATATGTTTTATGATGCATACTGCCTGTTATACTGTTTTAATAAGTTGCACTGACCTTTTGATAGCTTTACCTTGAGTAATCCAAACCAAGAATATTTAATATTCTACCTATCATTATACCCCATCTCAGTGGTGACAAAGAATTATCTGTTTTTGATTGGACCATTTAAACAGATTGAAAGAGACCTGAGACCAGTTGTACGACTCGCACTTGCTGACTTTTATGCTTTGATCATATATTTTATGCTTAACCTCATGACTTTCTCCAATGCAGAATGACACAAGTTCATAACTGTTCAATCGCTGAGCCATCAAGTTGCTGTTTAGGTGTCCGGGAGAAGGCAGTGTATACACACTGTAGACCCCCACATGCCGATGTCTGCATATCTGGAGGTGACCAGATTCATCAGAAGAAGCAGACTATGAGAAGCCCACACGACGTGGACACTTTTGTCAGGGGAAGGACACAGTGGAAGCTATGAAGGCCTGTATGGACTGAATGAGCAGTGCATTCGGGTCAGACTCATCAAAAGAGGTGAAAACGAGCCTGGACCTGTTTAGCTACCTGCTGAACACGACTTACAACTGATAATGCTGCAGAGACTGTCTTGAATTGCCCCTGAACGACCTCAACAAGGATACATAGTGACCCCATGGACACATTTATATCTGACCCACGGGATCAAATGGGGGTTATCTGTAAGAATTGAAATATTGCAAATATTCTGATATCTTTGACAATTCAAAACATGAGCTGAAAACAGAGACTGGTAACTTCACAACTCAGCAAGGGGTATGCGGGAAAAACCAGTTCCTGCTGCATTTGCATCTGAAACTCAGCTTCATCCCCCAACTCACGCATATGGTCATTTCAATGTTTGAATGTTTTAAATTAACCAAACTGACTTTAACTATCATGTTTGATATCATTTGAAATGTCTCAGTGCGATTGGTACAATGGTCTCATTCTCTCAGAAATAGACATAATCAGAACAATAAATATATAACTTCAGGCATCTTTTGAACCACTGTGAGAGGTGTAACACTAAGTGTGAATGCCTTCTTTGTTATTCACACCCCCTTCCTTGAGGGAATTCTTGGATTATTTAAGGTAAGGCCTAAGAAGGACTCAGGGCGATTCTGCCTAACCAGATCAGCCCATAACATGGGGTCTGCCCCATGTTATGTATATTTCAAAGTCAGGAATGCATCTTTTTCATCTTGGATTTATCTTTGATAATTTGATGTTTTGTATTGATCATTTATGAATTGACTGATTGAATTGGCATAATACATTTACCTGACTAATAAATTGTTATGTTTGACCATATTTTGCTCACTCTGTAATTATTAATTCAAGTAGATTACGCTGTATCCTTGTTTCCGCACGTCTTGCGTCAGGTCAGTAGACGGACTAAAATCCAATTGAGATGGAGCATTGGCACACTAATTGTGTTTTAGGGATCCGGCTGACTCTTGGTATTGATTCATGTGTACTTAGGTGGAAAGGGCGATAACTTCCGTCTAGGTCAACAAGGTGTTGCACGACTAACCTAGATTGGGTACCCGACCTTTGTTTGAAGGTAATATTATTCTAAATTAAGTTCATATGGGAAACCATGGGCTTGGTGAAAACCAAAGTTACTATAGAGTCCAGTAGTCGGGTACATTTATATTAATGCCCTAACCTCTAATTAGAAATGATGATTGTCTTAACTCAAAGGTGTACATCTAAGCGGGACTAACTAAAGTATTTTAGAACGAGTGCGCTGGTAGCGGCCATCTAAAGTATTAGTCAATTTACCTCTGTTTAATATTCAAGACTGACCGGAGTGTGACCGTGAGGGACGCCTTCGGCCGAGGCGATTTCTCTGAGCGACATGAGCACCCGAATGAACGGATGTAATAGTTACTAGTGAAGACAAACGGTTCAAACATTTATCTAAATTACATATTGATATAATCTTCTTAATGTTTTATAATTGGAGTCAGATAAAACAAGGATAAATATATTAATATTCTAAACCATCTCATACTAAAATTGGAGTCAGATATGAGTTAAGTTTAATATAAATCAACATTGTGCACTGGAAAGACAGAACATGCAGTGAACCTTCATCCACCAGTGGACACCGGCATTGGGCCAACTGGGTGGACCTTACAGCACATTCCCACGTTCAGTTCGTCGTTAGTAAATCCAAACGTGAGCGATTCTGAGCGTGAAACCTGGCGTACGCAAAGTTTTTGTGCGTACGCAGCGTTGATACATGAGGCCCCAGGAGTTGTGTTTGGCCCGGCATGCTTGTATTTTTAGGCAGCAAGCATTAGTCCCTGAGAGGTGTTCAAAAGCGTCATAATTGTCATCATTCCACATCGCGCGTGCTAAGAAGCCGCACACAGTTGGCAAAGCATTGTTATTACCAGCTACCAAAGACATCGTCAAAGAGTTATTTGGAGAGGAAGCAGCAATAAAGGTAGATTGTATGCCTTTGTCAGACAACACAGTAAGCAGACACATAAGTTCAATGTAAATATTTTGCAGTTTTACATAAATACAAGACAGAGAAAAAAACTACAGAAACTACAAATGTTACAAATGTCCAGGTTTAACTTTTCATCTACCAGTGCCTTATTTAAAAAAGCTATCTTGTTCTGTTAATGTAAAAATATTTTGTTGTTTTTTTTTTAATGAAATATAAAAAATTTGAGAATATTTTTTTGCTATAGTGAGTTTCCAACTAATAAAATAAAGTTTTAAAAACAATACCATTTTGCATGCCTGTGAGATATGAACTATAATGACTTTACGTTAAACAGAATTTTAGTTTACACATTTATACTTGAAATGCATAAGTGCCATTAAACTTTAGGCAAAGGAGTCCCCTGCAAGGAATCATTATATTTGGGGGTCCCTAAGATTAAAGAGTTTGAAAACCCCTGTCGTAGTGGACCACCCCTTTAACACTTTACTTTCCAGATGAAAGTGTATCATGGCAGTTGATTAATCAAACAATAAAAGCCAATTCAGAATTAACTGCACAACATCAATTACTCAAAGATAAATTTAAGAGTACTGATGCATTATGGGCCGGTTTAGATACAGACTCGTGTGCTGACACATTTACAATTTCTACTAATTTCAATTAAATAACCAGTGAGAGATTAATGAATGGTTATTTTGTTGGAGCTAGAAAACATGAGTCATTTGTTTGGGGTTAAAACAAAGGTTATCAAAGCAAAGAAAGCCAAACCTTGTTACCTATCACACCTGAATATATATATATATATATATATATATATATATATATATATATATATATTTACTTTTTAATAGCAATGGGGAAAGAGGGCAAGAACATGTCAAAGGCTGTGCTGGGCACTTTTTTGAATGTCCTGTTCTTTAGATTCCAGAGTTTTTACTGCAGGGCACATTTAAGTCTGAGGAAAATGAATCTCTACAACAGGAAAAAAAAAAAGAAAAAAAAAACTTTCTGTAACACAGATTTTCTCATGCTGTGTTCACACCAGACGCGGAACGCGCGGATAAATCACGCTATTCGCGTGTAAATAGCAGCGTGAACATTTGAGTTTACTCGCTTCATACACGCGTCAAACCCCGCTTCATTCGCGTGTCAAATTCACTTCAGAACAGATTTGGATTCGCGTGATGTGCAGGGCTTCTGTCTGCCCGAAGACTCTAGCTTCATAGCTAAATGGCTAACATGGATTTTATGAAGAAAATAACAGTGTTTATGTGCTTTATGGAGACTGAAAAACAGCGTTGATACGTTTAGGGTCGTGTCTGAGTCCACTACATCCTTTCAGAGGTGCATCCAGCTCTGTGAGCTTATAAACTCCTCCAGAAACTGAACCTGGATGACGGAGGATTTCAGCAGTGCTTCTGACTGAGCCAAGCCCAGTTTTATGAACTGTTGTCGGTGAAGGCTGGATGATTTCCCTCGGGACACCATCAACTGGTTCTACGTCACAATCACGTCCCCACAAGAGCAAGCTTCTGATTGGTTAACGTGGTGCGAATGTACGCTGAAGTTCAGATTTTCGAAATCGAGAGATTCGCTCGAAACGCTCGGTAAGAGCGTCAAACGAGCAAAACGCTCAATTCGCCCCGCGCCATTCGCACAATTTGCGTCATTCGCGCCACAGGATGTCTATTCGCGCGTTTGCATTGACTTAACATGTAAATCACTCGCGCTAGACTGGTGTGAACGCAGCAATATGCTTTCACCACTGCCTTTGTTCACATTCAAAGCATAGTAAAAATGAACTAATAAACTAATGTTTCCATTTTTTTCCACAAAGTGAGCAGAGGACTGGTGTACGTCAATCAGATGATGAACTGGAAATCTGCTCAGAGTTACTGCAGACAGAATCACATTGATCTGGTCAGTGTGAGGAACCAGAATGACAATCAACAGCTGGAGAAGTTCATTAATGACAGAAACTCATCTGGATCTGCAGTCTGGATCGGTCTGTTCAGAGACACATGGCAGTGGTCAGATCAGAGCAACTCCTCATTCAGAAACTGGTTGACTGGTGAACCAAATAATAATGAAGGTAATGAAAACTGCACAGGGCTAAAGGAGAACACTCAGGGACATTGGGCAGACATCTCTTGTCACTACCAGTTTTCCTTTGCGTGTCATGAAGGTGAGCAGATCCTTTAAACACACTCAATCCATCATCAGCTCCAGATCTCTTAAAGATCTCTTTGTTCTGCATGTTGTTGTTGATCAGTTTCTCTCTAGTTTCTGCTTTGTTTTGTGTCCAGATAAACTGATTGTGATCCAGCAGAATCTGTCGTGGTCTGAAGCTCTGAGATACTGCAGACAGCATCATGTGGATCTGGTCTCGGTTCAGTCAGTGGAGATGCAGCGTCGTGTGATGAACGTGGTTAAACTGGCGTCTACCGAGGCAGTGTGGTTGGGTTTACACAACTACTGCAGCATGAACATGTGGCTCTGGGTGAGTGGAGACATGGTGTGCTATCAGAACTGGGCTCCAGGGAACGGCAGCACACCGGAAAACTGCAAACTGGAGAACAGAAAAGGAGCAGTTCAGTCTGGAGGAGATCAGACCTGGATCAGCCTTCCTGAATCTCACAGACTCAACTTCATCTGCACTAACTACTGAGAGTGAAAGATTTTTATATGTTTGTTTAAAATAATCAATGCTTTTTATGCTGTTTTTATAGTAAATTGTGTTTATTTCAACTGTATAATTAAAAATTCTGTAAGTTAACACATTCAAATGTTATTCTATGAAAAAGTGGTTTAAAACATTTAACAAAGACAGTTGAGGGAAATTTCAGTCAATTGCAAACTAAAAATAACAGTTCAATATTTTGACTTGTGCATACTGAACACTTAAAAGATTAAAGTAAACAAGTCTTGTGCAGTGACTTCTTGGGATCTGGTTTTTCTGGTGCTTTGTCAACTTCTCACTGCTGTGTTTTAGTTATATCTTTACAGTTAATTATTTTAAAAGTGATTGTGCATCAAACTCTTAATTTGTTGCATGTCTCCAATTACAATACAATTTAGTTTAGTTTTTAGAGTGTACTAGTAAAAGCTGTTTAAAACAATCTTGCAGTATGCATGCATGTTGAACTATTCACTGAAGTGTTCAACCTCAGCTCAAATAAAGATTTGAACATGTCTAATGGCTACTGCATTGACTCCCTATTAAATATCATATCAATTTTAACATTTTATTGGCCACCCACAAAGCTTTGAACGACTTATGCCTAGTTCAGACTGCGTGATTTTAGCCCCGATTTTAGCTCGCCGACAGGTTTTGAGAAATCGCCGACAAATGCCTGAAATCACAGGCAAATCGCTGCTCGTGCACGTGAGTGACAATCACACAGTATGAACTTTCAAAGACGCGATCTGAGAGAATCGCTGATGAGTCGCTGATGCCTGTGAGATATTTGGCATGCTGAATATCTGGAGCTGTCGGCGATTCAAATCATGCCGTGTGAATTGAATTTTGACTGAAATTAACGTCAGCCATCACCTACAGCCAATGAGAGAGCAGCTTTCACTTGTGTGTGCGTGTGTGTATACCTGCTGCAGGCCAGCGGGAGGCTGGGGGAGAAGTTAAAAGCGCTCTTTTACGGTTTATTTGGTCCCACGAAATGGAGGGAAAACTAGTGGAGGTTTGACAGGACTCAGGAGCAACCGTGTCTGTTTGACATTTCATACAAAAAGAAATTAGTTTATTATCAACGTTGAGGAGAAATGGCTAATTCCCTTTAAACCCAGGTGAGCAAACATGTACATGTTCTACCCCATTAAAGGCTTCTTTCTCATTATGTAGTTAATAAAAAAAGATATACGACGTGCTTTTGGCTGTGAGACGTAGTTTGGACGAAGTTGTCGGTGATTCTTCCTATAGTAAAGTCATGCAATGTGAATGTCCATGTCGCCGATCCATCTTGCAGTGTAAACAGAGCAGCGACGAAACGCTAGCCCAGATAGTCATGCAGTGTGAAAACATCTGTGACACAATTACTTTGAAAATCATGCAGTCTGAACTCGACATTAGCTGCCCAGTATTTGAGGGAGTTCCTGGTGTATTATAGCCTCTCACGTTCACTACACTTAATTCATTCTGGACAATTAATTAATTCCAGAATATCAAAATCAACTGTAGGCGGTAGATCTTTTTGTCATATCTGGCACCTAAACTCTGGAACAGCCTTCTTGGCACAGTTCAGGAAGCAGACACACTCTGTCAGTTTATGACTAGATTAAAGACACAAACGCTTTTGAAATTTAAATCTTCTAAAGGATTGTTAGTCTGCGTTATTTAAGGCAATCAGAGCCAGGAACACTTCCCAAAGAACAGAGTTTGAACAGCATCTGTGCTTATGTTAGTCTTTTGTTTCCTGGACCAGGCCGTATCCTGAGCAGCTCCTGTGATGGTTATAGAGGAGTGGAGAGCATGAGACTGATTCCTGTAAGACTCTAGTGACAGACAAGTCACTGAGCCAGCCTGCACACCAGCCGGTGACCTCTCCCACCTGCAGCTTCTCCACGATGGATGTTCATTTACATTTACATTTAGTCATTTAGCCGACGCTTTTATCCAAAGCGACTTACAAATGAGGACAAGGAACCAATTTACACAACTACAAGAGCAACAATAAACTAGAACCTAAAGTTCATTGATAAACTTTGATGTTGGCTTGAGAAAGCCAACGTGACTGCGCTAGGACTGGGAATGGCAGTTGGCAGAAAGCACGGCAGCGGTTGCTAAGTGGTTGCTAGGCAGTTGCTAAAATGTTTATGGCATTGTTAGGTGGTACATGTTTGATCAAATGCTAATACTTAGTAGGCATTTCTAGCATAAGTTATTGCATTTAGATAATCATTCATAGCATGTAGCTAATCGTTTTTAGCACTTGGCTTCCATTATCATTGTTAATGAGTCAAACAAGCCAATGCCCAGGTCCCTACAATGTTCTGATGTAGAGATATTGCTATTTTTAAATGGTTGCTAGGTTATACTGTTTAATTGCTATGGGGACATTTGACAGGTTAGTGATGATACATCAAAGCTTCTTGGCAATATGAGTGATCTAAATCAACCCCGATGTTTCTATGACAGTCTTTATGAGTGTCAAAAACTGGACTTGAACATTATGTATTCCTGGTGTTGAGTTGCGGCTAGAAGGGCATTCGCTGTGTAAAACAAATGCTGGATAAGTTGGTGGTTCATTCCATTGTGGCGACCCCTGATTAAAAAAGGGACTAAGGGAATGAACATTATGTAAAAATGGCTTGCCGTATTTTTTTGAAAATACAACGCTTAATAAGTGTGAAAGTGATACATGCAAAAATGGCTTGCCATATCAGTAAAAAATATGGAGTTTAAGTCAAAAATGGCTCGCTATATTTTGAGAAAAATAATAAAAGTATGAGTAATAATAATAATAATATAAGTATAAGTATGAAAAACTATAAGTCTGATAAACCTTAAAGATATAGCAACAAAATCTAACGCATCTAAATACAGCTTTTGGCCAAATTTGGGGCTTGTATAATTTTTTTTATATGCCCGGGTTATAAAAATTTAATATTTAACATTTTTTATTAAAAAAACTATAAGTCTTATAGGCATGTGGAGATATAGCAACAATCTTGAATGTAGAAGGCACATTTTGACCACATTTGGGCCTTGTGGCATGAACGGCCTAGGAGGAGATACGTTTGTTTTCAAGGACAGAGTAGCATTACAGTATGTTGGCTTTCTCAAGCCAACCAAATAAGTGCTGTAGGCAAGTTTCAGGTATGTAAAGTCTAAGAAGGAAAGCTTTAGTATTTTTTTTTTTTTTGAGTGATTCTGCTTATCTGATGCAGTTAGGGAGTTCATTCCACCAACTGGGCAGATTGAGCGCGATTGTTCGGGAAAGTGTTTTCTTCTTTGGGATGGAACCACGAGGCGATGTTCATTCACAGAACGCAAGTTTCTGGAGGGCACATAGCAGATAAGAAGGAGCAAGGCCAGAAATCGCTTTGTAGGCAAACATCAGAGCTTTGAATTTTATCCGAGCAGCAACTGGCAGCAAACACCAGGAGCAGCAAATGTGCAAACGGATGAGCAGCGGAGTGACATGTGCTCTTTTAGGTTCATTAAAGACCACTCGTGCTGCTGCGTTCTGGAGCAGCTGAAGAGGTTTGATAGAGTTAGCTGGAAGCCCAGCTAGTAGAGAGTTGCAGTAATCCAGTCTGGAGAGAACAAGAGCTTGAACAAGGGGTTGAGCTGCATGTTCAGATAGGAAGGGTCGGACCTTTCTGATGTTGTAGAGTGCGAATCTGCACGGTCAAGCAATTCTAGAGATGTGGTCAGAGAAGTTTAGTTGGTCATCAATCTTAACTCCAAGGCTTTTCACCATTTTGGATGCATTAATGGTTTCCCCATCCATCTGGATTGAGAAGTTGTGATGTAGGGTCGGGTTGGCAAAAACTTCAAGCATTTCTGTTTTCGTGAGGTTCAGCTGAAGATGATGATCTTTCATCCAGTGTGAAATTTCTGACAGGCAGGCTGAGATGCGAGCCGGTACCAAGGGATCATCAGGGTGAAAAGAGAGGTATAGCTGGGTATCATCAGAATAGCAGTGGTAGGAGAATCCCTGTTTCTGGATGACTGATCCCAAAGATGTTGTGTAGATGGAGAAGAGAAGTAGCCCAAGAACAGAGCCCTGTGGTACCCCAGTGTTTAGGTGCTGTAGGTTGGACACCTCTCCCCTCCAAGACACCCTGAATGACCTGTCAGAGAGGTAAGATCTGAACCACTGAATAACAGTGCCTGCAACACCCAGTGACTTAAGCGTAGATAGCAGGATCTGGTGGTTTACATTGTCAATAGCAGCTGATAAATCCAGCAAGATGAGGACTGATGATTTAGGGTCTGCTTTAGCCAGTCTGAGATCCTCCATGACCGAGAGCAGGGCAGCCTCCGGAGCCTAGACTGCAGCTCTACACAAGACGTTTGGTCATAGGAGAAATGGTCGTGCCCAACTGAGTCTGGTTTGAGGTTTTTTTTTTTCCTTCACTTTCGCAAATTGGTGACATTTGTTCCTCAATGCTGTCTCCATCTTCCATGTTAAGCTCCTTTGACACAATCTTCATTGTAAAAGTGCTAGAAAAAAAGATGAACCGAAATGACTATTCCTTTCTGATTTAGCATATCTTAAAATTTACATCAAAACAGTGTTCATGAAACAATAGTAGAATGTTTACTCACAATCTTAAATGGCACATAGGTTCCCCCTTTTTTCATATTTATTATAAGTCTTTTGTGTCCCCAGAATGTGTCTGTAAAGTTTCAGCTCAAAACACCCATCAGAGTATTTATTATATGGTATTAACATGCAACATTTATATCTCACTAACTACAAAAGTGTCTGATAAATATGTTACATCAAAATCAATGTTTTCCTTGATTTATCCTCCATGATTCAGTGAAAATGGTAGGACCCTGATCATTGGGGATATGGAAACTTTAAAATGGCCGCTTTTTCGCATACAGGTTTGGCCATGACTGAAAATGTGGATCATGCACTTTTCTATATGTAGCAAATATAACAAACACCACTAAATGTTGTTTAGTCAGTGTGGGGAAGACAAAATGATACATATAACTATTTTAGGAAAAGGTATAATGGATTGGCTAGTATATAAGAGTGTTTATTAGGTATATAGAAGTTTCAGGTTTAGGTTCTAGATCAGTGGTTCCCAACCTGGAGTCCGCGCCCCCTTGTGAACTCTGCCAGGACTTATCCTGGATAAGGATAGGGATAACACTAAGGAGAAGTGTTGAGGTAGAAAAAGGCATAAAAATGGTCCACTATTATATAGGGCTGTGCAATTAATCAAAAATTCGATTTCGATTTT